GCTTCTTGTTTCTTCTTCTCCGCTTCCCGCCTATGCATTCAAAGGATTCATTTGCACTGCAAGGCATTCCAACATGTCCACCTGGACTCTGGCACAGTCCACTTGCCAAAAACACCCAAGCAAACCCTGAAACAGGTTAACAAGACCTGCACAGTAGCCTGCCCCTAGTCCTTCTCACACCTCAAGCTCCACAGCTCAATGAATAACCTGCAGGCTTACAAATCTGGCCTACGATACCCCCCCTTCATCATGCCGCACCTTGCTTGCTTCCCACGGATTTGGCTCTGGATTTTTGTTGCTGCCAGCTCTTGCTCACGGTCACTTCCGCCCTGTTGACTTGGCTTTGCAGCCTTGTCCTGTGTGGGCTTGGCCGCTTCCCTCTTCATCTCCACCTCGCGCCTGACATGACAGACTGCTACTTATAAGGCAGAAAAGCTCAATTTCCCATGAGCTCAGAACCCACCACGCCCCCCTAAAAAAAGAATTTGAAGACCTCTGTGAGCACAATGCGTGACACAACGGAATACAATGCACAGGTAGGCTTAAGATGGCTTAAGCCGGCTTCGCTGCATTGCTCCCGCCTTGCTTGCTTGCCGCGAATCCGGCTTTGGATTTTGGTGGCTGCTAACTCTTGCTCACGATCCACTGCTTCTTGTTTCTTCTTCTCCACTTCCCGCCTATGCATTCAAAGGGTTCATTTTGCACTGCAAGGCATTCCAACATGTCCACCTGGACTCTGGCACAGTCCACTTGCCAAAAACACCCCAAGCAAACCCTGAAACATGTTAACAAGAACTGCACAATAGCCTGCCCCTAGTCCTTCTCACACCTCAAGCTCCACAGCTCAGTGAATAACCCGCAGGCTTACAACTTTGGCCTACGATACCCCCCCTTCATCATGCCGCACCTTGCTTGCTTCCCACGGATTTGGCTCTGGATCTTTGTTGCAGCAAGCTCTTGCTCACGGTCACTTCCGCCCTGTTGACTTGGCTTTGCAGCCTTGTCCTGTGTGGGCTTGGCCGCTTCCCTCTTCATCTCCACCTCGCGCCTGACAAAACAGACTGCTAATTATAAGAAAGAAAAGCAAAACTTCCCATGAGCTCAGAACCCACCCCGCCCCCCTAAAAAAAGAATTTGAAGACCTCTGTGAGCACTGCGTGACGCAACGGAATACAATGCACAGGTAGG